ACAAATATGGAATCAAAAACTTTTGTGCACAACCAACAACTCGTTTAAATCTCAAGTGGTATATTAACTTTGCATTTGCAAGCTCTACTGTTTATGTTTATGGCTGCCAAAACTCATTTGAAAAAATGTCTTATAAAACTAAGTATAATTCATATAACAATTCTTATAGCTACTTTACACAATTAGGTCACTATTACGATCATGTATCTTCCCCTAGAACTTATCCACACAATCATCCTTTATCTAAAAATTTTGTTGGGAATGTACATTCATCTTCTATGCACGTTGCGCTCTGGGAATTTGATGGTCTCGCTAGATCTGATTCATTTTTTGATTGGCTTGACAATCTTGAAAAATTATTTGCCTATCACTCTTCGAGTAACTCATGTAAAATTTGTCTTGCTAATATATTATTGGTAAGTTCTGCTAAGACTTATTAAAATCATATTTGTGTAATCTTCTAAATCAACGTATTGTCACCTTGTAGGATGAGATGAAACAAATCGTAATAAATATGGGAATGTGTATTATCGAACTCAATTGTTAAATCAATTCTTTTTGTATTGTAGGCAAGGTACATCCACTATTAGTAAGTTTCTAGCTCAATTCGAAGAGTTGTTGCACAACTCCCTATATCACAATATCTAGGTTTATTGATGGTTTGAATCTTGAATCTTGCCTAATGATATTCCTACATTCCAATTTTTGGACGATGCTTATCAACAGGACAACTTTTGGAACTTGTTCCATCTTCGTCAAACATGTCATGAGCTCAGTCTATTACCTCATTCCACACAGTCGCTTTCTGAGTTGTAGTCTATCTGGTTGGAGTCGAGGTCTCTCGGTCGAGAAGAAATGATGCAATATTAAGAGGGATTTTATTTAATATAGTTTCCAATTTTAAGATAATAAGATTTACGTTAGGAAACTTAATTGTGTTTGATTTAATAGCTTTTTTTAGATATTTGCTATTTAGAATAGGATATTTGAAACCCTATATAAAGAAGGCTTTTACTTTGTAATAAAACAACATTTGATAATGAAATAAATTGAATTTCTCCCTCAATTTCTCTCTTCTTCTCTCCCTTTTCTTATCTCTCTTCCCCTCCTTTCTCTTCTCCTCTCGCCTATCCCCTTCTCCTCTATTATAATTGGCCACCAATTGTTCCCAAAAATTGTTTTATTGGCATTACTAAAATCACATTTTATTCGATCTCGAGTACCTGAATTGCTCTAACTTGTTTCGCTCACAATGTGGCCATAACATCATACGTCATGATAAGTGTGTTTTTACACACTTATTTAGCTCACAAACATGACTTAAACATGGACAAAATAGTTGAATTGTGACTTAATCTTATTAAATTCATGCAATGTAGGTGGTTCTATGGAAAAGATGGAATTCAAAAGAAAAGAGCCGAAAAAGGACCAAAACGGAACAAAGCGATAGTTCGGGGACCAAAGGTGCAAATATTGAAAAGTTGAGCTAAAGTGCAGAACTAGAATGAAAATATATCAAGTATGAGATTGAGGACGATACAAGACGATCGGAGGAAGAAAGAAATAACATTGGACTGAATTGAAGAAAAGTGAAAGATGAAGGACTAAATTGCAATTAATCAAAAGATGAGCCGAGCAAGTGATCAAGGAATTGATTGACTCAAACATCAATTAGGAGTCAATATTTGATAATGGAATAAAGAAAAGAAAGAAAAGAGATCAAGAAAAGAGAAAACGGAGTTCAGGGACCAAGATAGTAAGGTTGTAAAGTTACAACCTTGCGGCCGCATGTAACTATACCATGCGGCCGCACATGAGGAGGCTGGGATTTTGTTGAGCAAAAAATTTGAACCACACGGTCGCATGTTTTAACACCATGCGGCCGCATGGCTTTAACATTCGAAAAAAAATCTAAACTTCCGTTTTTAATTGAAACTCTTTCAGGGCTCCGTGAGGACATGATATAAAAGTCAAAATTCATCAGAAATAGGGCAGAGTATCCAGGGAGAAGAAAAATACAACTTTTGGAAACAAGGAACACGAACTTGAAGCCGATTTCACAAGAATTCAAGCGGATTTTCAGTTTTTTATTCAAGATTTCAAGAATTTTCATACCGGTGCTATTCTTTCTATTTATTAATTTTGTTTTTTTGTGTAATTATGAATATTCTAGGCTAGGTTTTCAATTACTAGGTGATCGATGAACCATTGTTTGTTATTTTAATTCCATATTTCATGAATTTAATATAAAGACTCGTTTAGATAATTTGATTGGTTTATATGCATTGATTTTCTTTCACAATTAGTGGCCAATGATTGTGTGAGTGTTGATAACTTATTTCTTACATTCGAGAGAAGTGGAATAGGTTCGATAAGGTGTAAATTAACATAAGATTCGATAGGGGATAGAGATATACTCCTATGCTTTATGCAATTCTTTAATTGTTCACAAGACCACATACATTCTTGTAAATTTGCATCATCCATAGAGATATAGGCTGGTGGTGTGCAAGAATAGGTCCAATATATATCGAGAAAATATATTAGATAGAATTAGGAATATTGAATTGGCAAATTTTTCATCGAGTCATTAATTTTATGAAATTAGGGTTTTTATAACTTTAATTAGGGATTCGTGATCCTAGTGACTTTAGTTTGATTCATTTCCATAAATTAGCTTTTGAATTTGCATAATTTCATTTATTTGAGTGTTTGAGTCGTTTAATTAGAGAAATTTCGAAATTAGGGTTTTTAGTGAAATTAGGGCTTTTTGCATTTAGACCATATTTTCACTCAATTAGATTCGGTTAATGCTAGATTATATAGAATTGAACTACTCAATCTCTAAGGGACGATATTCGGACTTATTAAAATCCACTTTATTACTTGTTACGAACCGTACACTTGCGGTAGTTTTAAATCGAAAGAATTATTTCATGAACACGTCACATAATCAGTTAAATTCTTAAAGCTAATCTTTTGTTTTAACTGGTTTTGTAGTTCAGGAAGTTTTCACATACGGATCTTGAGTACCAGAATCGTTCTAACTTGTTTCGCTCACAACATGGCCATAAAATCCTACATCACATAATCAGTTGAATTCTTAAAGCTAATCTTCTGTTTTAACTGGTTTTGTAGTTCACGTAGTTTCCACATATGGATTTGTGGCATCAGCCTTTGATTATATATTACTAGATCTAGTAAAAGACGTCAAGAGAGACCTATAGTGAGAGTGCTGATGGTGTTGTGCCTGGAACCCATTTGACTTTTCACATGGTTGTTTGGGAGCCACATTATCAATCCCGAAAGTTATAATGAATGAGATGAAAAAAATTAAATGTGCACATCAGCACTTGAAAACACAGACTTACGGTGATTCACATAGCGTAAGAGTTGCTTCAGCTTACCGGTGTTGATTTTTCCCCATGATCAAGGAGAATTACAAGATTTTGATCATACCTCTCCTCTTTCTCCCACATGGAATAGACGAATTCTTATTTGTAGGGTAGGAAACTAGGTCGATTCACTGTCAAGGTGATAAATAAGCAGGTATACTCAGTCCTCCAACGTTCAGACCACAGTAGTTATCCTAAGTCCCAAAAGAAATCATCAACTTTAATTTAGTTATGTTGAAAGACAAGCTCCATGGAAAAAACTAATGTTATTTAGCATTAGCCTGCTAGACAGACTAGATGGGCCTCCATTGTCACCTAGACGGGTGCTATGCTGGATAGCAGTATTTGTAGTGAAAATTCATTTTCCATTATTGCATTTTTGTTTTCTGTTAGATTTATTAATTGGATAGATTTGTATATTTATCAATTTTGACAGTGGCCGCTAGAAACAAAGTTCTACATTAGAACCTGTATATAATTAAATTCGACACATTAAACATTCAAAAAAGGTGTAAAATAAACTAAACTATCAACCATCATGATATATCTGAGTTAGAATGGAGTACTCTTGAAGCTTATTCATGGCCTATCTTAGAGGCAAATTGAGATCGAAGTCTACCCACTTGTTACAAGTAGCGTAGTTACGTGGTACGAGTAGTTGTATGGTAGTGAGCTTGTGAAATAAAACTCTTACACCAGTAAATTTACTCTTTTCTTCTTTATTTTTTGTTTAAAAATAAATCAAAATATTACTTTATTCTATAGGGTTGGCAACGGGGTGGATACCCACCAGACATTTTCTGGCCCTTGTCCCGTTACCCGTTTAAGGTGAGGTGGGATGACATGGGGCAATTGCCCCATTTACGTATGCCTTTATTATTATTATTATTATTATTTTTATAGTTTTTGTTAATTCATTTTATTGCCCTCGTTCATCAATAATATAGTTTTTAAAATTTTTAAATAATTAATTTATTTTTAAAAGTTAAATTATTCGAATATATTTGGTAAATTAAGATTTTTATTGTTTATCATATTTTTTAGATAATTTTCGTTGCCACTTCTATTAGAATTAATGAAATTTCATAGAGTTTTTATTAAAAGTATTGAATTCTTAAAATAATAATAATAATAATAATAATAATAGTAATAATAATAATAATTAAAAAAAATAAACTAGGTGCGGTACTCGTTACCCTTACCCTCTTTGGGATGGAATTCCCCGCTCCGTACCCGACTGGATTACTCGATTAAACAGGTAACCCTTGTCCTGATCAAGACGGGTTACGTGTCCTGATCAAAGCGAGCTCTACGGATATCGAATTTAATGGATATTTTTACCATCCTATTATTCTAGAGAATGTGACCTAACTCGATTAAAAGTTTTGTTGGACAATCCGGCAAGTTGGGTTGATTAATCAGGATATTTTATTCGGATATTTTTTTAACTTCATGTTAATCAGGATTCATAAGTAATAAATTAGGACAAACACGACATAGTGCATGTGGGGTCGAAGTCATTAGAGCCGTTGCCAATATGAAACTATAAAGTTTATCCCATTACTACCTTAAATCTCTAGTGTTTATCTTAGTAGACTCCTTACCATTCATTCCCATTATCTTTACAGAGAGAGAGACAGGGGAGGAGAGAGTGAATGGTGTCAGCTTCTAAGGTGAATCATACGCAAAAGCCATCTTGGTAAAGGATTAGGCCTTGTCCTTGGAGGGATGGACCTTAATGCTCTCAATTGGAAGCAGCCCTAGCCTCTGTCCGGCCGATCATTCCGCTGGCATCTCGCATTCACGACCCCGTTTGACTGCCGCTCGGGGAAAAGACCTTTGAAACCTAAGAAACATAGATAGGCTCAACTCTCAACTACGGAACAAACACCGAAACTTTACGACAGCGAGGAGAGAGTGAGGGGGAGAGCGAGGTTTTATTCTCATTCTCATATGCTCTTAGCCCTCTACCACCCCCACCTTCATTTATCCTAACCCAGCTACCTCAATCTCCATTTTTCGAACACAGGTCAGTCAATTTTCTCTGTTTGTTTATGTATGCGGTGCAGTGTTTCAGTAAATTATACTCTTTTTTATGCTTATACACGTCTCAAACGGAATCCTGAAAATAATTTGTATTTAGTTAATTTTTTCAGTTGATTGTACTGAACAATTTGGAGTTTTTCGTTCTGGGTTTAATTTGATTTTAGTCTATAAGAGGTAATTTATGGGTTTTGAAATTTTGTGCTTTTGGATCGAGATAAAATTGTTAAAAGAAAAGAAATCAAATTTAGTTTTTCTCAAGTTCATTGCTGATTATTCTATGATAAATTGGGTCAGAACGAATGTCTACCAGAATCAGCTCTTTGTTGTGAAAGTGCATTTATAATTTTATGTAGCTGTCTTTTCATAAATTTGTTTATCATCAATAGTGTAGCCACTTGATTTTGTCGCTTTATTGAATGATAAATTGATTTTCTTCCGACCGACGGAAGATGTTGTCGTCTTCATAACGTGGTGGGGTCCTCTTATGGGGGAAGGCTTTTCTTGTCCATGATGAGTCATTGCTTTGTCCTATTGTCTTGACGGCAACTAAGTTGTGCCAAAAATGAAGTTAATTATTTTAGAGTTTCTTTGATAACTAAGGAACTTACTTATTTCAAATTTAGATATTAACCAAAAAAAATAAAATAATAATAAATAAATCATTTAGTTTATAACTTATTTATTTTATAACTTATTCACTTGTAAATATTTTTTTTAAGCCTACCCAAATATGCACTATTCTTCAACACACATCCTCATGTGTATGCCCTATTTATTTTCGTGTGCACCATTTTCCATGAACAGACAGTAACGAGACTTGAATTTAAGACCTCTATTTTCTTTAATACCATGTCTATCTCATCTAAAGGTGTTAAAAAGTTTAAAACATTTTGAAGAGGTAGCTAACAAAAAATTGATTTAGGTTGTTAAACACGATTTCATTCTTAATGAGTTAACCCAAAATGTGACAAATTTGGGTCCAAGAACAGTGAAAGTTCATTAATTTGATAGTTTTCCACTTTTTTCTTCTGTTTATAAGTTATTGAGCCTAGATCCATGAATTTGCATACAGTTGAGAACTGAAGTATGTTCAACTTGTTTAACCATTGAATGGATCTCAAATGAGGTTTTGTCAAGTTAACCATGAGCCAACCTTCAACGGACTTAGTTTATCTATCTGCTTTACTCTCGTTAACGTGCATTGGATGAGAATTTACCCAGTAGTGGATAGAAACTGTTTGATTTATCTGTGACTGTGAGCATAAAATGATGTCCAAGATTCATGGCACTGTGTGAATGGATCATGACATTGAACTTGAATGTTGCTGATAATACTCTTACATCTATGACGAATAAAATTTCTATGAAATGGTGCCCATCTGATTCCATTTGATAAGGAAGATTAAAAGGATTCAAAATTCGACCCTAATTTCTAAGTTCTTCAGATTTTGATGTGGATAATAATATATTTGTACCTACCACAATCACATAGTCTACAAAATTTTATATGGTTGTGAAACACGATGTCATTTCATAGTATACCAGTTTGACTAAAAGTTAAATGATTGAAGGGGATTAGGTGTAATGTTTTAATATAGTGGAGATAGGTGCTTCTTACTTGTACTATTTGAATTGTCCCTAAATATTGAAGATTAAAGAATCTAACTACGAAATTCATCTTAATCTAGTTGGATCAAATGCTTCTTCCTTTGTCAGATTTAAATTGTTGCCATTTGACTTTTTTGTCAATTAGACCTTTTCTTGGAGATCATAATTTACATAGCCCTGTTTGAGCCTCATTCTTTCAAAATTATTTTTTTCTCAAACTCATTTTCAACCACACATTCTCCCAATTAAATAATTTTATACGTAAACCCAAAATTTTTCCTATTTTTTAACACATTCTCCAAAAAAAAATAATAATAATAAAAAAAATTCACTATTATAGAATTTGTTTTTCAACGAAAGGGGATCAAACAATCCTCAATTTTGCACGTATGGCATTGCAAAATAGTGAATCACAATCTTACTACTATTATTTGAATGATCCTAGTTTAAACAACTTAAATAACGAGAAATATCACTCCAAATAATTTGAGAATTAAGTAGTATTTTAAATATTTTTATTTGTCCATGAAAATTCGGGTTGCACATATATTGAATCCTGTTGTGTCTTTCCCATTTCACATAACTTGATTGGGTTATAGCTATTATTAACTAGGGACAAGATTATGATGGATAGGTAATTTTAACTAAGAACTTGTAGGTAAGTTTCTCTTTTTTTGTTTATACTATGTTCAAAGTCATTTGACCTTTATTTATCATCGTAGTTATGAGACCTGACCCAGTTCTTGTTTATCTTATGTTCAAAGTCATTTGAACTTTACTTATCATTGTTGTTAGACCTATCCCAATTCTTAACCTGGTTAAAGCTCCTAGTAAGCGGTTCAATGAATTAGCCAGCGGTTCATTCTTTGTAGAAAAAAGTTCATAAAATACTTTTCTTTAAAAAATTCCATAAATTTAACCATAAGTTTAATGCTAAAGTATACTCTAATTATAAAATACATTTATTAATTGAAATACTAAAATTCTCATATTTTTATTTTATTTTGTCAAAAATTGAATATAAGATTTGTACGAGTTCTTATATTTTCTTAATATTTATATAGTTCTGTCTATATTATTACTCGGTTTTTCATTTCTATTTTTCATGAAATTTCGTTTTGTTTTCTTTTTTCAAAGGCAATTTTTAAAAAAAATAATATTAAAAATTTATCATCTCAGCTAAGTCATCTATATACAATAGACTAATAGTAGATAGTATAAACAACAATAATGAGATAGCCTAGTGGAAAAGCAAGTCCTTAAAAAGTGTGAGGTCTTTGTTCAAAACTAGGGAACCCCATTTTTTTATTTTCCAAAAAACCTATTGGATATCCTCAAAACAGTCAGACCAGTGAAACCTGCTTGTAAACCGGCCGGTTCAAGCAAGTCTAATGTCCACCAGTCCAATTACACTGACTGGACCTGTCTGGGGTCCCGTTCACCAGATTTCTGGTCAGACTGGCCAGTCCTCTCCGGGTTTAATAACTATGCTTATCATATACATGTCCACATCATTCAGAACTTCTTAATTTATTCTGTTGCATCCAAAGAATGTTGAAAGTTGTTTATGATGAGGTGAAATCTTGATTTTTTTATTTTTTTATCTCAAATGTGCTAGTGATAAAATATTGTCTAGTAATTCTGTTAAAAACTTGATCATTTTTACATCCTTTGATCGCCATCTTCTTGTCTGCAGGTTGGATTACTTATCACAATGTGAGATAGATTTTGTTAAAATGTGCTGAAAGCGGATTGGATTGACTTGGACAGCTTAAGGCATGGGGAGAGAACTGGTCTAGGAAGCCTAGATAATATTGCATTATGTGAACAGGATGCGCCATCCCATACGGTAAGCACTGGTGAGAGGGAAAGAAAGCTCCTGCCTTTTGCCAGCTCTAGACTCTCTTTCCCATCGAAGGTAGTATTCAGTATTTCCTGAACATTGTGATTTTTTTATTTGATACACCAAAAATACGTTGGGTTTTTTTTTTTTTTGTGAGGATTTACAAGGAAGCCCAGTGGGGATAACAATCTGTTGCTCTAATAGAATAGCTTGAAGCCCTTACAAATAGAAACTTATCCTAAAATCCCTAAGGAGAGGCACGCAATAATACCTTAAAAGCTAACTGGTTTTAGAGCAGTTCCTTTCTTAATGTTTTTTTAGACACTTTCGGCATAGGGACCTGTAATAATTTTCTTTCTGTCTTTCCTTTTCTATTTTGTTTGATGGTTAAGACTTCATTCCATCTAGGCCATCAGAATAGGAATTAGATAATTTTGACATCAAAATCTGCTTGGACTTTCAATCAACAGCAAGAGCCAAATAGGCTGTGATTTGTCCTGCACATGGGCAAACATTAGAATGCCCAGCCACCAGAAAGGGGGGGGAAGGTTGCCAGGAGCACTCTGATGCTTAAATTAAGCTATGGTTACTCTTAAGTTTACGCTTACAGTAAGTGGAACAGAGTGAGTTTTGGCTGACTTAATAAATTTTTTATACCTCGGCTTCAAGTGTTGCCTTTGTATTTATTGGGGAATGGAATAGTCAAGTCATCGAGTGTAGCATCCCTAGAGTTTTGTACAAGAGCGGTTAAACCCATGCTGGTGTAGGTTGAACCGGTGGAGATGTTGGTTCAGATGTGGACATGACCTTGTCTTGACCATAAGTCTAACAAAGGGCCTAGGAGCCCCTCAGCCACAGATGTTCGTCTGCTCTGCTTCTCAAATCTGCCTGCCACTAGTGATCGTCCTTGGTGGGGTGGATAGTATCCCTTTCTTAGTCAGCTCATTTGGGTCCCCTCCATCCACCCAACCCTGAGACTACGTGCTTTCCCATGTGAGGTAATAGTGCAAAAGATACAACTTTAAATGCTGCACAAAAAAGATTATGAATTTAAGATTATGCTAAAATTATAATGGAATAAGATAGTTGCATAGGCCCATGGAAAAATGGGATGATGACTCAATCTCACTAATGATGCACGAAGCAATGCCTTGATGCAAGAAACAATTATGTTACCAGTATTTATACAAGCCATTCATCCCACAGATTCTGAACGGAGCTTTCACCATTTAAATTATAATTTAACAGCATTCATCAGGAACTTTACATGTTTCTTGACTTTTTTCCACAAGTCACTTGTGTATAATTTTCAAAATTCTATCTCTTTGCCCTTTAAACATGTTCATTTTCTTTGAAGGAAAATGTGTTAAAATTTGCATCTCTGCTGCTGATGAATGTTGTATGACATGTGTCATAGTAATCTATATTCTGTCTTGATGCAGAGAAAGACAATGGCTAGGGATTCTTGGCCGTACTTCGATCCTGAGTATGAGACGCTGAGTATCAGAATAAACCCTCCACAGTTTAGTTCCTACACTTCTATCCTCTCTTTACATCTATTTTAAATGTTGAGTGTTTTCCTACTTGTTTTATTGGCCATCTTATATGCAATGAAACCCAGTTAAAACTAAACTGATTTTGATTGATATATTACCTTATTGTACAAGCTTGAAGCATTTAATACGTAGTTATGTAATACTTGGCCATTTAATTTAATTTTTGCAAGACTCAGGTGTTGCTGCTATTTGATTGTAGTAACTACTCGTCTTTCACGGTTTCTGTGGACAATTCTAGTTGCAAAAACTGTACTCTTGTCAAGGTAATTTCTCAGCCTCTATAAGAAACTATATCCACTATGACCAGGCACCCTAATTCTGCTGTACATTTTCACTGTGGGTGTTCCAATTTATGTGTGTGTAAATAGGACCTCCACTATGATACTTGTGTGCATAAAAAAGCACAAATCTTCCTTCTAATTTCTTACTAGAATAATGAGATGAAGGTTTTTATGTAACACTTAGGTTGACAGCATGAACAAGCCAGGGATACTGCTGGAAGTGGTGCAAATTCTTAGTGACCTTGATCTCATAATTACCAAAGCTTACATCTCCTCAGATGGTGGTTGGTTTATGGATGGTATGAGTATAATTTCTTATTACTAATTCCTTCATAATATACCTTAAGAAAGCAGCACCACTTTGTGCTTAACTATATTCTCCCTTGTAACATAAAGAAATCAGTTGAAATGGTTTAACTTATCTCAAAGTGTGAGCCTTAGTGGCCAAATCAACTATCTACAGTAATGGTGGTTTGTTATCTTTAACAACTTTGAAAAAATTCTGTGCACTCATATGCTAGTATTGTTTTAGGAAATATAAAAAAAATTGAGACAGAACTACTGAGATGAATGATATAATATCAATTGTACAGTCCTTTTGTCTTCGAATTACAAAAAGGAAGATCCTCTTTATAGGGTTACAATTAACTAGAACAGGAAATGTTGCACTACAGTAATTGTGCTATCAAAGTATTAGGGAACTATTCAAATGGGACCTGAAAAATATGACAATCACAGAGATTACAAGATATTTTTCCACATCTAGCAATGCCTATTTATATATAAACGGATAGGCACATGCAATAGGAGTAACAAATTTGGCAGCTCATTTAGAGGTATTCTATTCAAGGCTTTCTTTTTATTCTCTCTGCCTTTTGTTGTCAACAGTTTTCCATGTCACTGATCAACATGGGCATAAGATTAGCGACAGAAGGACCATTGATTACATAGAGAAGGTATGATCTATTGCATTTTGGATATTCTTTTCTTTGATTTCATGTTCAGAACAGAGATTCTACCAACTGGGTTGACAAAGAAGTATAGTAATATTAGTACAGGTTCTTATCAAATGAAATACAATGTCTCTGAAATGTCGTTTCCAAAAAAAAAAAATAATAATAATAAAAAAATAAAAAATCATTAACTTCCTTTTTACATGGCTAAAAGATAATAGTTCTGTAGTTTTAATTATTTCACAAGACATGAAGCAGAAGACAATTGAAGAGAAACACATTGGATAGCAACATCAATACATTAGTTAGTATATAGCTTAAATCCAAGTCAGCTCATTTTTCCAGGAAATACAGCAGGTATTTTCTTTTTATAGCCCTTACCTCACTATATTTGTTCTCCTAATGCATAATTATTCATGTCAATCTAATCAAGTTCATGGTCAGGAAAAAATAGGAGCGTAGTGTAAGCAAAGAACTAGTTTTGACAATTCTCAGAAGTGCAAGAGCCAAGTCCTGATTAGTTCTCATTCACTTTTGCTCTGAAAAATTGGGCAGACTAATTTTCTTTAAGTCATATACTTTTCATATCCCAGACAGCTGTGCTATGTGGTGTATGGATAATGATGCTTCTCTTGGAGCCCAATATTGATGTCTACTCGCTAAATTATTTTTCAAAAGATAGATTATACATTTGTATTTGTTAAAACATAAGGTTATATATAAATTTGTTACATGTCTAATAACTTAAGTTTTTAAATAAGATGGTTCAATATAATATAGGAGATGGCGAAGGTCTTAAGTGCAACTTTTGAGGTGATCCATTTATGAAAAAATGTACACATGTAAGCCTTTTAACGAAAATCCGAATTTGGGTTGTGCACGTGAAGGAATGTGTTAAAAACATGATTTAAATAAATAAACATGTCCCATTTCTATTAGATTAAGCATTTAGACAGTGGTTCAAGGGTCCTGAAAGGAAGAGTACATTTGGTAGCCTGAATGTATGGCTAAACTCTTTCTCCTTTGGCAACTCAGATGAAATATAGATTTTTTTTTTTTTTTCCCTAATTTCCTTTTGAAATATGTAACAATAGGCTTTAGGACCCAAAAGCTACACGTCAGACATGTTGAAGTCTTTGCCTGGGAAGCGAGTGGGGGTGAACAATATAGGTGATTATACGGCCATCGAGCTTATTGGCAGGGACCGCCCTGGTCTCTTGTCGGAGATTTTTGCTGTACTTTCTGATCTCCACATCAATGTTGTTGCTGCCGAAGTTTGGACTCACAACAGGCGGATAGCATGCATCCTTTATGTTAATGATGATTCTACTATCCATAATATGAATGATGCATCTCGACTATCTTCTCTCGAGGAGCAACTGAAAAACATTCTTTGTGGGTGTGGAGATGATGAGACAGTGGCTCATACGAGTTTTTCTGTGGGTTCTACCCATGTTGATAGACGACTCCATCAATTGTTGTTTGCTGATAGGGATTATGAAGGTAATTGTTTGGAAACTGAACCGGATTATTCTCCTTCATTCAAACCAAATATCACAATTGATCGATGCGAGGAAAAGAGGTACTTGGTGGTCAATGTAAGGTCCAAAGATAGACCGAAGCTCATGTTTGACATCGTATGCACCCTTACAGATATGCAGTATGTTGTTTTTCATGCTACGATCTCATCAGATGGCCCCTATGCCTTGCAGGTGCATGCACCATTGTTACCTAATGAATTGATATACCGAATATCTGTGTGAAAGTTTTATGACCTTTTCTTCTTGCCAATGCTTTCTTGATGGATAAAATTTTAGTGCTGAACCATGAGAGTATTGTCAAATGGTCTTCAGTTTACCTTCAATACTAAGTCATTTCACATGTTTGGTAAGCTTAAAACATTTAGTTATAAGTGCACAAGTTTTACGGAAATATTTTTCTTTTGCTAGTCGAAGTTGGAATAGGTAAATTACTTATTTTGATAGTAAGGTAAAGTTACTTTCAAAGTAATTAACTTTATTGCTTAAAAGTAAGAAAAATATAAACATGTACTAACATGCTAGAAACAAAAAGATCAGTTAAAAGTAACTACTACCCTTTCTTAAGCTTAGTAAACGTGACTGGCTGACAAAAATTACTAAAAAAATAAATATGTGCAAGGTTATTTTTGTGTGCCTGGGAATATTTTATTTGGTGGGATATTTCATAGTTTTCTTGACTCAATGTTCATCTATTTCATGAATGAAATATTTGCTGCAATAAACTTTTATTAGACATTCACAGTAGATGTCAATTAATTGCACTAAAGTTACTTTGATTGAATATTCCATACTATTAGACTGCATAAATTTGTTTTTCTTCTCATCTAGATTTATAAGGTCTCTCTGGGCTTAATTTTCCAATGTCTTTACCTTTTGGCTCATTCTCTTACAATGATATGGATATACCTGGGCTATGATTGTGGTACCCAAGTGTTTCTGATATATAGGAATATTATATACGACGTATGGACGGTTGCACTGTAGACGTTGAAGGAGAAAGAGAGAAGGCAGTCAAATGCCTTGAAGCTGCAATTCGGCGAAGAGTAAGTGAGGTAATGGACTTCATTCTAACTTTGGGAGAAATATCGCTGACATCTTCATTTTGTGTACTTACTACTAGCTTATTGCTATCAGCTGTATTTTTACTGAACTTCGAGTTGTATTGCATTTTGACTTAAACAGGTAAATTTTTTTCGAGTAAAATCTACCAAAAAACTCAGTATCACGTATGAGCACTGCTTATCCACCGATATGCAAAATGAAAACTGAGAAGAGCTGTTAAACGAGACAATGTATATTCACATTTTGATCGAAGTCTTATATTATAGCTAAAAATTTTAACACCTTTTCTGGTTCTATACTAGTCACTGTAATCTTATAGGACATTTTTAACTCAAGTTGCATGAGAAATATGAACTTTCTTGTGCATCTCATCTACTCAGATTCAAATGCCTTGTAGTGTATACCTTGATATCACTTAAATGATACATTCGGTTTTTTAGTTCAGTGTTTTGGATCTGCATGTTTGTTAAGCTTAAAAGTCAATTAAAACTTATTTCTAAGTAACTTATTGTTTATAAACGTTTTTGGATATGCCAATTTTTTTCTTACACATCCTGATTAAGTTACTTATTTAGTTGTTTCGAAACTAAGATGACTTATCGTCTATAAACATTTTTGGATCTGCAGATTTTCTTCTTACAGAGTCCTGAATAAATTACTTGCTTAGATGTTTTGAAACTATGGTTGGAGTTAGTAACTTATTTGTTTCTAACTTTGACTAACAAAAAATCTTTACTTAAGATTACTTATTTACTTATAGGTAAATACTTTAATCTTAGTCAAACATGTATCGAAGTTAATGTTATTTACCTCTCATAATCTACATATAATCTGTTTTGTCGAAGTTTTGTGCTCTGTCGGGATTTTCAATTCTATTTTGACAAGTGAAATATGTAATGGACACACGTTACAACTTATGAAAGTCATGCAGGGTCTGAGCTTGGAGCTATGCGCAAAGGATCGAGTAGGGCTGCTTTCTGATGTAACAAGAGTTCTTCGAGAAAATGGGTTGTCAGTGATGAGAGCTGGTATTACAACTGTTGGGGATCAAGCGATACATGTGTTCTACGTGAGTGATGCTGCTGGGAATCCTGTAGATATGAAGAATATTGAAGGATTACGCCAAGAAATTGGACACAAGATGATGCTTAATGTGAAGAAAGTCCCGACAAATACGAAATCCCTTGAATCGAGTGGATGGGACAAGACGAGCTTTTTCTTTGGAAGTTTGTTGGAGAAGTTTCGTTCTTGAAAATGACTGCCCTTTGCTGAGTATGCAGAATGCATGCATTAGCGGTTTCCCTTTCAATCCTACGAAATGCTGTCTTAAGGTTTGAACTTTTATGCAAGGCAGCAAGTTTATATGGCAAATCACTGCCAAAAATTGATAATAAATGATACATTGAAATAAATAAAGATGTAGATGAACTCCCACCCCAAACCCCAAGTTCTTGACTGTTTTCAATTAATTTGAAATGTGACTATTACAGTGATATTTGAGGGATTGGATAACGCAAAATTGCCTGAATACATTTTAGTCCTATACTGCAAGTAGGAAACCTGCTTTGTGAGCTTCTCCTTGCGCGTTGGTTTCAAGATGTATTTAGGTGATTGTAAAACTGGTATCATACGAGTTTATGGACAATGCTTAAATTCTTCTATTTATATTTATATAACGAACTGACATAAAAAAAAATACTAATTAGATACATAACTATGTAGTATTCTTAAATTGTAGTCCACATATTGAACTTGATCCAATTCAATAAAAACGGGAAAAAAAATTATATTTCAAAAGAGAACTACGAACTCAAGATAATTAAAAAGGTTCACTACAGATCAAGCTGTGAATATGTTAAGTTCAATTGTCACGTGTTATTAAAAAATTAAAAAATTAAAAAATCACTTAAATTTGTAAAGAATGCAAGAAAATAAAAGGTCGAATTATAAATAATGAACGATTTGATTTATTAACTTATATCACGATCCTAACTTGAATTTTTTGATTTACAGAACGCTCAAATTGAAAAGATTAAAATATACTAACCTTTGAAATGTAACAATCTGATGTGAGGCGAAAGGCCAAAAAAAGTGGGAGCTAGTCTTGATTTTTCAGGGTTGGAGTCTAAAGTTTTACATAAATTACTATCCAAATTAGAATTTTTAGATTTTATATATATTTTTTTACTAGGTCTATATATTGAAAAAAAATTATATAAAAAAAATCAGTTTTATTCGGATACCCATGATTCTGGTTCAAATACAAAGAATTGATCCGAACCCAATTGGTTTCGATTTTCGATTCTATTCCTAATTTTTTTTGGAACCAAATCAAAACCTCTGATTTCGGTTTGGTGTCGATTTGAGAGGTTCTATTTCGATTAAAATACCCTGGCCCATCCATGGATGCTAGTCTAAAGGGTATGAATTTGATCTCTATGTCTTGTGATCGAATTTTTGACCTCTTATATTTGCATGGTTTGTAAAAATGTATGGTTTGTATGTTTATAAGCATGTTGGACACTTTCTTTTATAAGTCAAAATGATTTGATCTAGCTGGATGAATGTCGACAAATATATCTAATTCGAGCTCATTGTGGGTCTAAAAATAAGGAAAATCTATTGTGACAGGGATGGGGACAGGCCCTGCTAACAGGGGCCACGAATTTCAGATCAAGGGATGGGGTGGCCCCTGTTAGCAGAGCTGTTCCCAGCCCTATCAATGTAGCAAAGCTCCTGAAAATATAGTTTGGGCTAGGTTGGAGCTATTCGTCGACAAAACCTATATTGCATGTAGGGAAGGTCCTTGACCTAAATTTTGAGGGCTCATAAGTCGTAAAAATGAGAAAATTACGTCAAACCTGACATCTAAGTTTCAATTTTAGTTGTGTTGTATATGATTTATTTGTCAGTTAATAGGAATGTCATGTCTAGTCAAGTATTCATGTCTAATAGTTAACTTGCATCTATATGATTTTTCCTTAATAATTGAGAGATCAAAGTGAAAGTAAATAAGTTGTAAATGAATTAGTATGCATATTCCTTTACTTCACGACTTTTTGGTCAATATATTTTTTGAAAAAGTAAAATAGCTATAAACATAGTTAATGATATTAATTATCATAAATCCAATTAAGGTTACTCAATTTTACTAAGATGTTGATATTAATTATCACAAATCTATTTACGGTTATTCAATTTGACTAAAATATTTTGAAAATTGATTATATAAATATATTAAATTTATCTTAAATTGATTAGGCTTATCACCACATAGTTATTCAATTGAATTTGGATTTAAGTTTATAGTTTAGACATAATTTAAGTGTTGATCAATTTAAGAAACTTGTTCTCGTGAAACCTGCAAATGTGTGGGATCGTTGACAAATGATAATGAAGTGAGTTGTGAATTACCGTCCAACGGGGAATAATGTTTAATTCTAGTTCACTAGTTACTACTAAATTCGATGTTCGTGACACAAAAGATGTGATTCTGTTGTTATTTAAACTAATTCTAAACTAAGAAAGTAATAAAAAATGTTTGTCAAATATATGAATGATTTTATTGGATTTTGAATCCCCAATTCCCTTGCATGACAATTGATAACACTAGTGTATTCAATTCCCTTTTCCAAGACAAATTAAGTTTATTTTGATCACGACCCAAGTTTATTCCTAGTTCGAATTCATATGACTGAAATGCATTAAATTACAAGTTATCTATGTGATTGCATATATGATAAAGATTATTCCTAATTCGATCTACATATGTTAATTTTGCCGCGTTTTAAACTTATTGAGAGTATCCCAACACTACAACAAGCAACTAATTATTCAATTGGTGGTCAATTAATTAAATAATGCAATATGTACACAAAATTAATAAAAAATAACTAAATTAGTAGTCTTAAATCAAAACAAATATGCAATAGGGTTCATCATTCATCCAATATAATAGAAAAACTAGCCTAACACTCTAATGATTAAATTATACAAGAAATATTGGAAAAATATCGCCCGAAAAGAAAAAAATAATGAAGAAAGTGGCGAAATCCATTGAATCTTGAAAAATGAGGAATATTCTTTAATAAAGTTGTATAATCCACCTTTATCTTGACGCTTGACCTCGTTCTTTACCTCCAAAATACGTAGAATATAAGATTTTTAGGTCAAGATGGAGGTTTTTTTTTTTTTTCATTCTAGGCGTGTTTAGGTATATATACGATGTTAAGATATTATTTCCGTATAGAATTTCACCAGAATAAGAAAATTGGCTCTTCACAGAAAATTTGGCTCATGCTTGTGCACTAGTCAATGATTTTGCTCTAGGGTTGGAGAAAAAAGGGCGGTGCAAGTGCGCCATTGCTTGCTCTCGCTCGCGCGCCATTGCTTCACGCATTTCCCTGGATAGCTCTCGATAATTTGATCATAACTTTCTCTTCTGAACTCTGATTGAGATGATTCAAAGTGTGTTAGAAAGCCGACTTAAAGAGCTACAATTCTTTCGAAGCACAAATTTTCCAATCTATACAAAAAATAGATCTCAAATTGAGGCTAAAAATCCGGAGCATAACTTCTTCGCCTGGAAATTGATTTGTGAAAATGCTTCAACTCTATTTCATTCATTTGACCTCCAATTGATGTTATATAATCTTCAATCATCATTTTGTGATTCAAATCGACTATTGTATGTTTACACTTTGATTCCCAAACTTTGGAATTTCTTCGTTTTCAAATGTTTCTGTTCATTTCTTTAAAATCCACCAATTTGCATTGATTTTAACCTAAGAAACACAATTAACACGAAATTAGGCTATAACTAATTCAAATCACTAACAAATACCCTAATTTAATGGTCTAAATAAGTGTATAAAATATACTGATCAAACACCCCCAACTTGAATATTTATTTGTCCTCAAATAAAATTATAACCTAGCTTAAAATTATTTTTTTTTAACAAATCTGGTTAGATAAATTGCCTTTGGTCTCAGGATTGGAATATATGTATTAAGACTATGAACTATTACAAAATCACAATGCAAAAATTAATTTCTACTTATCCAATGTAAAACTGACACGTGTGTGTGTGAGAGAGAATTTATGATGTGTGTGAGAATTTGTGTAGCATCATAAATTCATAAAGTGATTCAAATCCCGACCCTTTATAGTCAAATTTATCTTTTATTCTTTCGTGAGATTCACATCCTCAAACTTATTTATTTAATTCTCTTTCCAATGTGTGATCTAAGATTGATTTTTTATATAATGCTGAATCCTCACCTTCTCTAATTTGGGTAGATCTTACTAATTATAGATCAACATATCAACAAATAAGAATTCTCCTTATTTTTTATTGCTTCGGACTTTAAGAATTAACTAAGCTAATATTTCTTGTTAAAAGTCTAATTTTCTCAGATGAGTGTTTGGAGCTTAATCAAGGTATGTAACAATACTTTTTTCTTTATAGATATTTTTCTCTTTTTTTTTTTTTTTTCATATCTTATTTGTGTACTTTTCTCTATTAAACTTTTCAAATGACCCATGTAGCGAGTTTTTGACCGATGACTCCCAAGTCAGATGATTTTAGGACACTAGGTTTTTAGATACCCTTACAGCCTTAATTACTCGAGTCATAAAGTCGACGAAGAGAACCTTCACAACAAGACAATATTTTTTCTTTCTTTTTTTTTTCTTATTTCATTTTATATACAATGATTAGTGCAGTGCCCTTAATTAAACACATATTCTCAAAAATCGACCTCTAACTTAAGATTTTCACCTAATTTTCATCTTATTAGCATTTGATAATTCACACAAAATTTAGTACACATGGAATCCATATTTATCTCAATATCTCCCTACAACAGTTCAATCACTCTCAAACTATTCTAAATTTGGTTTAAGAATGTATAATTTAGTGGTTATTTGAATTTAGTTTCTAAGACCCACTATATTTTTTCTTTTTCAACCTATTCAGATTTTGAATCAAATTATTCCTTCAAGATGCAAAACATACATTTGTGCTCCAAAAATATCAAATTTTACGCAAATAAGCATAAATCAACCCTGACATGCAACTTTTTCCACACCTTATAGCCTAACACATAGTTCCAGATATATGCATCATAGTAGGCAAATTTATTTAACCCACACAAGTACATAAAAAAAAGCTAAGAATAACTTTTATTTTTTGAATTTTCAGATTTTTTTTTTTTGCATTCGAACAAGCACACAAACCAATACAAACTCAATATTTTTCCACCCCAAACTTATAATAGGCATTGCTCTCAATGTCATAAATTCTAAATCCGTATGTAAGGAGTGGGGATAAAAATGAAGAAAATACTCTCCTTATATGCGCATGAAACTTAATGGTTAGCTTGTCCTATTACTCATGTTGTCTCCTTTGTCAATGTCAGTTTAAGTGTTCCAGAATGTCACGTTCTTGCACAATTCAATTAAATAAAGTATTAAGGATCAAGTACCAAGAACATGTGTTACTTAGCTTAAACATCTAATAAACAAAC